AGATACAGGAAGATGAAGTTGAAAGAACAACCTCAACTTTTTTTTTTTCAAACTCAACTTTTTAAAAAAATTATTTTCATTTGAATTTTAATGAAAGTTTACAGAAAAGTTGGATTTTCATTCATTCATTGTTTACACATTTTCTTCCCTCCCTCTCCCTCAGTTCACTTTCTTCTTTTTTTAAAAAAATATTCATTCATTGTTACATTGTTTCCCCTAGCCCAGTCCTCTTTGCAGTGTACCTCTTATTCTGGACCATTGTGTTATGCCTAATCATAGATTGCTTTTAAATAGTTCTCTCCCTAATATGTTCCATTACACTGTTCATTATCTATCCACTCTTTTTCTATTCTCCTACCAACCCTTCATGTTAGTCCTGCTTCATAGCAGTGGTGTTATAGTCAATATTTCTTAAGCTGAAAGAACTGAGGAACTAGTTCATGCCTTGAGTTGCAATACTGAAGGATTTTATGGGCCAATCTTGAATGATCCAGGAAGCCTCAAAAGAAGATGGAAAGAATATACAAAGTTACTATACAAAAAGAATAGGTCTGCATGGAACCATTTCAGAAAGTAGCATATGTTCAAGAACCAATGGTACTGAAGGAAAAATTCCAAGCTGCACTGAAAGTATTGCTAAAAAATTTGGTCCCAGGTATTGATGGAATACCAATTGAAGTATTCATGAAACCCACAGTCCTTTATGTACTCACCAGTCTATACAGAAAAGTTTGGAAGACAGCTACCCAGCCAACTAACTGGAAGAAAGATCTATATTTATTTTTATTCCAAAAAAATGTCATCTGGCAGAGAGTGGGGATTATTGAATAATATCGTTAATATCACATGCAAGCAAAATTTTGCTAAGGATTATTAAAAAAACTTGGACAGTAGTACATCAACAGGGAAGTACTAGAAATTCAACCTGGATTCAGAAGAGGCAGTGGAACAAGGGATATCCTTGCTGCTGTCAGTTGATGGAATTTGGCTGAAAGCAGAGAACACCTGAAAGATGTTTACTTGTATTTTATTGATTATGGAAAAGCATTTAATTATGTGGATCATAACAAATTATGAGTAACACTGAGAAGAATGGTAATCCTAGGACACTTAAATGTGCTCATGTGAAATCTACGCACAGAACATGAAGCAGTCGTCTGAACAAAACAAGGGGATGCTACATTTTAGGGTGGTATCCCATTTCCATACCTACTCGTTCTGTATGCTGAGCAAAAGCTTTACAAGAGGGACTCTTGAAGGAGAATGTGGCATCAGGATTGTAGGAAGACTCAGCAATGTATAATACACAATCATGCTTGGAAAAAGTATAGAAGACTTCAAGTCCTTATTAAAGATCACAGATATGAGCTGTATTTCAACATCAAGAAAGTAAAACTCTTCACAATTGGACTAATAAGCAACATCATAATAGGTGGGAAAAAGATTGAATTTACTATTTATTTCATGTTATTGCTCCACAATCAACACTCATGGTAGCAGCAGCCAGGGAGTGAGACATTTTTCATTGGGGATATCTGCTGTCAAGGTCAGTTTAAAGACTAAAGTGCACCCGGTCCAAGCCATAGTCTTTTTAATTATTTCCTGTGTGTCTGGAAATTGGACCATGAATAAGGATAACAGATGAAGAATCTACCTTTGAATTGTGGTGTTGGTGTACTGACTATCCCATGGACTGCCAAAAGAACAAACAAGTCTGTCTTGGATGCAGTGCAACCAGGATGCTCCTTGGAGGTGAGGATCGTGACATGTTGTCAGGAGAGGCCAGCCTTTAAAAAAAGAAATTAGCCGGGAAAGGTAGAGGGTCAGGGAAAGAGTACAAGACCCTTACTGAAGTGGATTGGCATAGGGACTGGAACAGTAGTCTCAAACATATCAGAGATTCCTGAGAATGGTGCAAGTTTCCCATTTTATTCATAGGGTTGTGTGAATTGTATCCTCAACAGAAGCTAAGCTAACAACATTGTGGTGGTCATAATAAAAATGAGGAGAACTAAAAAGGAGTTGTTAATTTATGTCAGTAGATTGGAATTATTGAACAGAACCCCAAGGTACCTCTTTTAATTTTTAGTTTCTAGGGGTTTGAGTACCATCAAATCGGATCTCACTGGTACAAGAGGAGATTGTCCCTCCTTCAGCAGAGCATCTGGTGGATTAGAACTGCTCACCTCTGGGATTGCAGTGCAGCTTCTTGCCACTAGAACTCACCTCAAGATAACTCTTACGACTTCTGAATTTAAGTCCTCTTGAGTATTTAGGGAATAGAACTCAAAGGTTCTTATAAGCTTGTGATGAGATTCATTTGTGACTATCCCATTGAATCACAATTTTTAAAAAAAAACTGCATAAAAGGATATTTGTAGTTTAGGTGAAAGTTTACACAGCAGATTAGATTCCCTTTAGTAACTCTGGTTATAATTTCCACAGTGTGTCAGCATTCTTGTTATTTCTGATTTGTTTCTGTTGATCTCACTTCCCTTAACATCACATCTTTGCTTAGGTAGGAAGTTGGCTGTTTGGTCATATATAGATAAAGGTTTAAGGAATCACTTTGTTACTTCCTATTGACTTGCGTGTGACTCATAGCGGTCCTATGTATAGCAGCTCTGAACCCTGCCCTATCCTGAGCCAGTCTCACTGACTCTGGCATATCTACCCTATTGCCTCAGTTATGTCAATCCATCTTATCCAGGGTCGTCTTCTCCTGCCCTGTCCCTCCATCCATCCAAGCATGATGTCTTTCTCCAAGGATTGGTACCTCCTGGCCACGTGCCCAAAGTATGTGAGACAGAACTTCAAAATTCTTGCCTCTAAGGAGAAACTTGGTTTTACCCTCTCCAAGACAACTATTTGTTCTCCTGGCTGTCCATGGTATGCTCAATACTCTTCTCCAGCACCACAGCTCAAAGGCATCAATTCTGCTTCTGTCATCTTTGGTCATTGTCCAGCTCTCTGATTTATAGCATATAATTGCGAAGACCATGACCTGGATCAGGCGCACCTTAGGCTCTAGACTGACATCACTGCTTTTCAGTACTCTGGAATACTGCCT